TTTTTGTCCTCAATGAAGTTAAATCAGACTAAACTTCTCTTCTTTAGAGAATTAACACAATTATTTCTATTTGCTGAATCCCAGAAAACTTTTTAGACATTTAAAAAAAATAATTTTCTTTATTTTGTTTAAGTGTTTAATTTTAACGGGAAGGTGATTTACCTTCAAACGATTTGTTTAGCTAGTTTGTGTAGCGAATATCTATTATTTCTATGTCTTATTGATCTGTTTAAATCTTTACAAAAATAAAAATGTTTCTGCTGTCGAATGTGGAATACTATCAGAAGTCATTATTAAATCCGACAGGAGAAATCTGAAGGGAAAATTGTAGTAAATTAAAACTTTGTAGTAAATTAAAACTTTTATCTTTAAAGTGTGGTGCTGGAAAAGTTCTTAAATTTCACTGTGGGAGGAATGAACCATTTTAATTTATTTCTTTTTTTTGCTGTTGTCTGTGCAGATGGCTCCTCACTCTCTGGCTTGCATCTCCTCGTCAAACTGGGACCGACCGTACTCCAGGGAGTACGCCGCCTTCCCACTGGTGAGTGTCATAAACCTGGGGATTAAATTGAAAACCTGTCCTTCCATCTTGGTCTCTGCTACTCTAACCTAAAACAACATAAAACTCATCCGCTTTTATTTTTTCTTTAAGTATTTGAAGTGTTTGTCTCCATCTAGTGGTGAAACGTAGGAAAATGTCAAGAGTTTAGATTTTTAATAAGACTCCATGATTTAAAAACATGACAGCATTTTCAGTTTCAAAATAAGCTTTTATTTTAATTTTTAATTAATAAAGCTAGTTGTTTTGTTTTAATGTTACACTTAATATTTTATTCTAATCTTATGTAGAGCTATAATGTATGACAGTGTATTAGGGCCGCTTTAGGTAGGAAAATAAAGGGAGTACATTTCTACCAAAAAACGTTTTTTTGTTTTTCAAATATATAAAAGTTGTTAGAAAACATTCAGAAATTTTGAGATCTTAGAAATGTTCCAGAATAAACACTGAGATTTCTGAGTTAAAAAAAAAAACTTTCCAAACAGAAATGTCCTTGCTTTTTTGAGAAAATGTTTGAAATAAAGAGTATCAAACTTCCAAACTGCTTCGGATGTTTATAGAAAGTGATTAAAAATTATTATTTTATCATTACATGTGGAACAACAAAGGCCATTTCTGTCTCCATTGTCAAGAAGTTAATTTAATTTATAATTATTCAAAACGGATTATGTTGAAAAACAAATTTAAATTTGTAATTAAAAATCTATTGGGAGTATGTTTTTGTTTCTTTCTCCATCTATCCTGAATAAATGAAAAGTTAGATTAAACTTGGAACCGTTCATGTAGTCTGATTGGGATGTTTTCCTTTTTTCCCCAACAGCCCTTCATCAGACCCGAGACCAAATTCTGGCCAACCATTTCCAGGATTGACGACATCTACGGCGACCAGAACCTCGTGTGCACCTGCCCACCGATGGAAGTCTACGAGTCTCCGTACGAGGAGAAGCGGGCCTCTTCGTAGACGCAGTCCAAGGCGCCGTCTCAACGTCCAGCCGTAGAGGACGATACTAAAAACTCAGACTTCCAGCTACCATGAATTGATGATGTAATAATTGAAACACTGGATGTGTTGTTGTTTTAAGGAAGTGTTGAGTTTTAGCAGATTTGGGGTTAATTCCTTCTAACCAAACATGAACCGGTTCAGATCTAGAACGGATCAGAGATCTGTTGTAGACTCAAAGGCGGACGTTGGGCGAAGGCGCTGCAGGACTGCACCAGCGTTGGGTCAGGCTCGTTCCAACTTGGACTTTTCAAACGGACCAAAGGGTGCAGCTTTTTGCTTTCCAATCTCTGAAAACAACTACGCTCACCCCAGAAAATACCCCGTCTCATGACAAACCTTTATCTTTTGATCTCCAAAACAAAAATGCTCCCCCTGTGAGTGTTTATTTTTTTGTTTCTATCAAATGGAAATTTTCCCTTCAGATTTCTAAGAACTTTAGGAGGTTTAGATTTTGTAGGTATTTGTCAATATGCATCTGTGTTTGTGAGTTGTTCTTAAATGTGTTGTGACGCCAACCTTGTAGAAGAATCATTTTCTAATCTAAATAGTTTTCTATGTCGTATTAAACATTTTTGTCGTAAAGTATTTGCGTGTTTTGAAATGAGACGATGACCTAACCTTGCAACAATCAGTTTGTATGCTTTTCCTACAGTAAAATTCAAGAATTTTCAAGGCAAGTTTTTATAGTTTTCCAGGACCACACATTAGAGACAAAAACAGTTTTAATTCACTATAAAGTAATTTACTGATTAATAATGTCTCGTGATGGTATTTTGCAGCAGGGACAAGATAAACTAAATATAAACACTTTTTGATTTGATGTTAGCCGTCTCGCTGTTCCAAGAACGAAATTCTAATTTTAAAAAATCTGTTGATTTCAGGGACATTCATACAAACCACCCTTTATTAAAATTATGCAGATCAATAATTCATTCAGCCATTAGTAATAAATCCATGTTGGAGGAAAAAAAAAATCCAAAGAAGTTGTTTACAAAAGAACATATCTAAGAAATGTTTTCTAAGTTATCTGACATTTACAAATATAATTTTGGTAATTGTAACCTAAAACTAAAATTTTTTATCTGATTTAACTTTGGACAGTGAGAGACAAAAAAAAAAAAGTTATTTTTTTAGGTGTTAATATTAAGCGCAGAACAAACATTTATGAAATGTGGTTCTGTTTTCTCCATTTACTTCATGCCAAAAGACAAACCAAAATTAAATTAGAAATGGGAATTGGTTTCCCAACCCAAGCAAAGACTTAAGTTTGTCAAAATCAGCAAAAAAGTTTAAACTTTCAGATTATCGAGCTGCAGTATAAACTGTTACCATGTTGTGATCGTTTAGTATGAAGCAGATAATCTGTGAAAAGCTTAATCTCCACCTCAAACTGAGCGACTGTTGCTGTAAACGAACCACTCTGACCAAAAACAACCAATCAGAGCCAGGAGGAGGGTCTTAGCGCTGTCAATCAATCACATGTACTCACTGCTCAGTGTGCGAAGAGAGAAACAACTTATCATTTCAGGAAAACTGTAATTGCTGTCATTGATGGCTATGCTAACTAGCCTTTGCATTCACAACAGGCTATGCTAGCTTCAGCTAGGGGATGAGGCTGAGCAGTGCCACATGAGATTGTGATTGACAGACACACCTCCTGGCTCTGATTGCTTCTAGTTAGCACTGGGAGAAAGCAGAGGAGTTCTTGTTTATACAAATCTGTCTCATACCGTACTGACAGTTCCAGCAAATATGTAAGTTCATACTGTGGCTTTAAACTACTTTAGATTTCAAGTGGAAGCAAATAATTTATCAGACGACTGTCCGCACACTGAGCCGATTACATAACTTTTCTCTGAACATACCAGCTGCACATACCGCTCTGAGGACGTCCACATCCTGGTGTTGGTTTCATTCTGCGGTGAGCGCCCCCCAGAGGCGCCTCAGCTGGCTGTTTGGGTCGGGCTCTCCACTCCGGGACAGCAGCAGGAGAACACAGGATGCATGCTCCTATTAAACCTTTTAATATATCTGCATTTAATTAAGAGGTTGAACACCAAGTCATGCAACCTATTAACTCACTTGGGAATTGACTCATTCCCAAAATGAGTCAATAAATCAAGGACTTATTAACTCAATAGGTCAATAGGTCATATGACTTTGAAGCTATCAAAGAAAAGGCCTCAATTTTGACTTAAAAAATGTCTAAACAATATAAAAATGAATAAAAAAGTAAAAATATTTTAGTGCCTCATCTGTCCAGTCTGGTAGCTCTGTCCTACCTATTGAGCAAAAATACATTTTGACATTGCTGAAAAATATAAAGAGATCTAAAATGGAATCAAACAAATCGTGCGCCTCAAAAGAATTTCACATGTAACCTATTTTAAGTTAATAGGTTACAGGGCTTTGAAGCAAAGAAATAAACTATTTTTTAAATCTAAAATTACCAAAAGAATTTATAAGCGATCAAATAAAAATTTATTCTAGTAGAACAATTTATTCAGATTTATTTATTTCTGAATTGGATCTGAATTCATTTCATTTCCATTTATATGCAGAAAGTCCACTGAATGCATAATTTGCATCTTTTTTAAGGTTTTAGTGTCATCAGGAACCAGCAAGTTTAAAAGATCATTTTCTGATAATTTCCTTTTTGGTTTTGATCCTTTAGTTGGATTTATTAGCATCATAATCAAACGTTTCTTTTGAAAATGAGATTTTACAGTAAACCCATTCTCCTTCATAATTACCACATATTCTCTGCTAACAACTTGCAGATATTTACCTGCTGCAGACTTTTAGCATTTTGGCGCTATGTAGGAACAATTAGTTCATTTGTTTCTGGGACAGACGAACCCGTGACTGTTTTCATTTGTCCTGAATATTTGGTTGTAAAAAGACTGAACAAGATGCAGGAGGGGAAATGTGGGATTCTCTTAGAATTTGATGAAGCAAAGTAACACTAATAATAATAATAATAATAATAAACTTATAACTGAGAGCGAAAACTGACAATGAATGATAGGAAACACTTTCCACAGTCAATGTTTATGAGTTTATCTTCGGTCTGGTGACAAACTGATTGTAATTGAATTATTTGTTTTTGAAGATTTTATTCATTTATTTTTTTAGCAAAGCACTTTTTTGGTTTCCAGAGTTATGTCAACCAACCCAAATATTCCCAGCTTCTGTTTTGCAGCTTTTATTTATTTCAACTTTTAATTAAAGGTCAACTCCCAGAAACTATTATTATGATAAAAGCCACATTTTAAAGACATTTTCTGTCATTTGCAATTTTCCAAGGAAAAATACATTAAAGTCAGTTTTCAAATTTGGCATAAAATGTTTATTTTTTTTTTAATTAAAAGAAAATTGCCCAGCATTAGTTCATCCCTGTAAGAATAAAAAAAATGATTTGGATCTCAGGACTGGAAATCTGCTGCTCAGTAAATTACTGTCTTCAGTTTATTCAAGATCAGATACAAAAAAACCTTTTCACTGCATATTTACTTGAGAAAAAGAAAACAGCACATTCCCGTATAATCATGTTTAAAACATGTTGGTGGTAGTGTCAATGTTTAGGCTAATTTAGCAGCATACCGTAGTGATGGATTTCATCCCTAAACATTTCCTATATTGTCTTCTTCTCTAAAACAGCAATCATGGAAAAAAGAAGAAAAGCTTTAAAACAACCAAATCAAAGTTTTGACTGTAATCAAGCTGGAAGAGGAGATTACATGTGTCACACATATTTGTTTAACTCAGTCCAAGCCACATCGTCCTGCATCGCTCAGTCTTCACACGCTGGGCTTAAGTTCAGATTCTTGTGGAACGAAGAGTCCTTCGATTTTACCCGTTTCGCCGTCGCCCTCGTAGTGGATCGTCTGACGGCCGGCGGCCTCCACAGATTTCCTCCTCTGGAGGAGGTGGTCGACCATGAGGACAAACACAGCTGATGTAATAAAGCAGAAGCCTGAGAGGTAGAAGGCAGCGCTGAAGTTGTTCACTTTGTCCACCAACCAGCCTGCAGAGGAGGACAAAACTGTTAACGATTCGGACGATTAACTGATAAGTCAGATACAAAAATTTGGCACATTGTGCAGATTTTTTATTTAACCATTTAACCTCTAATGTAAAAAAAGTATTTTTCTCTTTCATTTAGCAGCTGTTGCTTTGAGTCAAATTCAAAAACTCTGAGTAGAATATTAAAATCCTCCAACATTTTTCCAAAACATGTAATGCAGCAACATCCAGGATGCATCAGTCTGAAGAAAGTAAAGAATAAACTATTTACAGGAAGAGGAATTCACTGAGAAAACATGCAGGTGATTTAAACTTGAGGTCATTTGACGTTTCTTTGATGCGAGGCAAGTTTCAGTTCATAATCCTCACAGGATTATCACAGATGAGTTTTTATTTCTGACAGCAATGGAAACCACGAGACCAGAAATGTGCACATAACCAGTCAGAAATTTAATTCTCAGTCTCAGTCTTATTTTTAGTTCTATACATTTTAGTAAAAATTATGGGACTTTGATTCCCTACTGGGATTTTTGTACCAGTATACTCTCCTGAGATGCTTTCAAAATCTTAAACATTTTATTCTAATCTCATTCAAATGCTGTTTTCTACCAGACAAAACTTATTAAATATTTAAAATAGAAATAAGTAACAAAATATAATCACTTCTTGCTTCGATTTCAAGAAGACAATTTTAATCAAATTTTACAGTTGTTATAATCATTTATCATTTAATTATTTATCAATTTTGAATTTAGGATCAAAAAATTACCTTCAAATTCTGTGAAAAAACCCCAAAAACTCATATTAAGCACTTTTTGATGTCCAATTGTTAATTATTAATAAATTATTAAATGAAATTAAGAGATTTTACATCAGTTCTTGGTAGGAAGAAAGAAAAAAGAAAAACAATAAATCAAATGTAAATCATGGAGGTCATTTTAATTTATTATGCAATTAATTGATTAATTGGTTATTACGGCAGGCTCAGTTAGAATAATCAATGACTAAAACAATCGTTAGCTGCAGCCCTGATTAAAGCATTGATGGCAGTTCTGTAAAAACACCTGCTGGTGACAGCATCAAGGCCTCAAATCTTGTTGCTTTGGCTCCAGTGAACACAAGGTGTTATAAAAACTCTTACCTCCAGCAGGCGGACCAATGAAGCCTCCGATGCTCCTGAACAGCATGAAGAGCCCCAGTCCGCTGTCAAAGCCCTCCAAGCTCACAACGTCCACGATGGAGGTGACGTGAATGGAAACTACGCAGCCAAACAGGAAGCCGTAAAGCGCAGCGAACACCAGAACGGACCAGTAGTTGTGACTGACGGGCAGCAGGAGCAGCATGACCCCCAGGAGCGTCGTAACGATGGTGAGCAGCTGCAGGTTCCTCAGAAGCCTCATGTTAGCCAGCCAGCCGCAAGACAGCCTGCCGGCCAGGTCGGCCACGGCCATGACCGACAGGATGAACGCTGGCCAGTACTTATCGATCCCCAAGCTGTTGGCAAAGGGAACCAGGAAGAGGGTCGGGATGAAAAACCCGGCTGCTGCAAAGATGGCAAACAGGATGTAGAGAAGAAGTTCGGGTTTCTTCAGCAGTCCGCACTGAAAGACTGCCTTCTTCTTTGGTGGCAGCGCAGCAGCACTGTCCTCTGCGCTCTCTTTGAGGTTCAGGTGTGAAGCTGGATTTGCCTCCAGGGGTCTCATGAGTGCACCGCAAACACACAGGTTGAACTGAAGGCCTCCGATGACGAGCAGCGCGCCCTGCCAGCCGTACACCTCGATGAGCCACTTAAATAACGGGCTGAAAACGATGGCAAAGACACACTCCCCTGAGCTGGCGATGGCGTAGGCAATGGGGCGCCATCTTGAAAAGTAGTGATTCACCATGCTGATAGCAGGAACCCATGAGAATGAGATGCCTGTTCCTGGAAGCAGAAGAAGAAAAATGTTTGCTGGAAGACCTGCAAGGCTTCACGATATCTTCAGATGATGCTGGTATCTTCTGTACAACTCAGAGATGGTCTCTACTAAAACCACACATTTCTATTAAATGTAGATAAAACTAAATTCATAATATTTGGAAAAGGAAATAACCAAGAAAATAATGTAATCAAAACAACTATCGACAGTGTTGATTTAAGACAAAGTCCATAATATCAAATTTCTGCATGACATATTGGATGATAAATTTACTTGGAAACCACATATCTGCAAAGTAAATTCAAAACTAACCAAAAGTGTTGCCATTTTGACCTCATTTTAACTGAAAATCTTTAAAAGGATGAATATGTGGAAAAGCATCTCATGTACGGTGGGAGATCTGTGATGCTGTGGGCCTGCTTCTCTTCCAAATGTTCAGCAATTCTTGTTAGTGGATGAAACCAAGGATTGTTTGAAACGCTAAATAAAAACTTTGTCAGAAAACTGAAAATAGGATTTTTCTGAAAGATAATGGTCCGAAACATGAGGCTGAGTGAGAGATATAGTAGTTTTGTCAGTAATTTAACCACTTTATTTGTGCTGTAAAGCCATATATTACCTTAAATAATATGATTTCTTTGTCTGCTGCTTTTAACTGCAGTGTCCCACGGAAATATTTTCCTTTCATAGGTCTGACTGAACTCATAAGAGACTAAATATACAAAGATCAAGACCAGGCAGGGAGTGACTTCTTGAAGCAACATTGCATGACAGTTGAAAAGAAAAAAAACCTTCTTACATATCTTTACTTCTGCTTTTTATTAACTAAACCACTGAAGCAATGGGAAGTCTTCCAAAAAGCAAATGAGTGAAGTTTCTAATCATCTAATTTATCTGGAAAAGTTCAGCAGGTAATAAAATACAGTCAGGAAGTCTTGCCTACCTTGCAGGACACCCGTAGTGAGATAGAGCCAAGGCAGATTGATGTCCAGAGAGGCCAGAGACATCCCCAAAGTACACAGAACTCCTCCAACTATGATCACCACTCTCTGAGAAAACCGTAACGTCAGTGCACTGGCTACTGGAGCTAGTTAAAAAAACAAACAAACAACAACAAAAGAAACTAAAAAACAAAACAAAAAAACACTGGCTTTAAAATGAATTGCACTGTCAACAGAAAGCCACACTCTTACCTCCTATATGAAACATAGCTATAGTTGTGGAAGAAACCCATGAGGTAGTGCTGGTCAGGACTCCAAAGTGACTCTGGATCTCCAGGAAGAAGTGGCCGAAGTTTTTGAGGACAGCTCCGGTGAGACCCATAGCGAAAAAGGCTGAAGCGACCACCACCCAGCCGTACCCCCCGTCTGGAGGTCCGACTCTCCTGGACTTCATCTCCAACTACCAGCAGGCTGCTCTTAAGCAATACCCGAAACCTAAAAAAAAAAAACAAAACAAAACAAACAAACAAAAAAAACGCTAAAATTAATTATATGGAACCACGCCTAGCATCTAAATAAGAAAAATAACCCGTTCCACTGATTAAGAGCTGCATATAATCACAACGCAGAGGGTCTCATGCTGCCAAAAATACAGCAAATCGGATAAAATCTCATCCACGACTAATATTTAATTTAACATTTTAACATCGGACATGTCGCAATTTTAAATAAAACAAACTCTTTCTTCAAGGTAAACAGCAAAACTACTAAACATTTCACAGAATCCAAACGAAACATGCAAAGTTACTGAAAACAAAGGTTAAATTGTCAACTCACGTGTTTCCACGATGCTTTCTGTTCCCGAGATTTTTATTTATTCATTTTTACCGAAGTCAAATTCAAAGCCCTTTAAATTGCTGTGCGCCTCTATTCGGACATCAACGGTAATCTCACCTAAACACACTCGAATCAAACAACATTTAAAATTACTCGAGTCCAAGATCTTCGTATCTCCTGGACAAATGCACAGCATACAAACTAATTTTACAACTAAAATCCAACAGTTTATCAGGATTTTTTCCCCATCCGGATAAAAATGTCAGCGAAAAGCTACGACCTTTGATGAAGCTAAAGCTGATGCGTATCGAACGTCACATCCGATTTTCAAAACAAACTTCTGGTGTTTTAATTGAATTTATTTACCTGCCATTAAATTAATCCATGTTACAGCAAAGAGCTGATTTAAAAACAGATAAACAACAGGGCAACATAAATTTGTCTAAAATACCTCTAAAGCAAATCGAATAGAACGTCATATCCGGTTGGTATTTCATAATAAAACACCACAATAATGATGATCATTGCTTGTGTGAATCTTACTAAAAGCTGTTGGTTGTATATTACAGAACTTCGTCAGTCCTTCTGGTACAGAAATGTTAAATAAATTTATGTAATGTAATCCTTTAACATTACTTAATAAAACTCTTATTTAATAGCTACATGACCCCACTTGTTCAGATTTTAACAAATAAACATTACCATAATTATGTTGGTGATACCTTACATCACCACCTGGTGACTTAACTAATTTAAGCAATGAACAGATGCACAGAACAAATATGTGGATGTGCTGACTTTCTTTAGTTGAATAAAAAAAACTTTGGTCCAAAAAAAAGCAAAAGAATTACCTAAGAAGAGGGATTAAGAGCTGACACTCATCTTCAACCTGAACAGCTAAATTTAGTAGCTCTGAAAACTAAAAATACTAAAACCTTGGGTTTTAGCTTATAAATCAAGGTAACAATAGTGAAAAAAAAAAATCAAAAGAATCAAGTTCTGCTAATTTCCCAGTGGATTATGTGATATTGACAATACATTAAATTTGTACAGTGGAAGTTTTGAGAAAAATGAAGGAAATGCATGTAAATACATTTCTTCACAGATATATTCTTTATTTTCACGCCACCTCTCACAATGAAAACAATGACAGATTTTTCAATCACCTTTGTATGCACATGCTTTAACAATGGCAGTTGCTGGCATCTGAAATATAGTGTTAACATTATTTAAATTTATAAAATTATAAAATCTTTCTGGACATATGTACATGATTTACTGCTATAGTACAGTTAAGCACACACATTTAACAACAACAAAAAAAAAGCTATCAGTCCACTTCCTCTGAGGTGACAGAAAAGGGGATGGCAAGAGCTAGCCCAGCTAGCCGTACGGAGCTCTCATGCATATGCACGCACACACACACATACACACACACACGCACAAACAGAGAACTTGTTCACCACAAGCGTCTGTAGCTTTAGTTCTGGCAACAGTCTCGTCACAGTCTCTATAGGTGCTTCAAGTCTTTTTTTAAACTTTGACCAAATACAATTACATATTTTCAGCAACATCCGCTTCAAAAGTTTGGCCATCCAAACATTTCCAGGCCACTCAGCTGCTCCACATTACACAAATCCCTTGCTGGAAGGCACCTCGGCAGTAGTTCTCAAGCAGATCCTTGTTCCAAGTCACGGCGCTCCACTTTTCTTTGCTTTTGGTCTTCATCTTTCTGCCACAATCAGGGCAACAGTGTTTCAAGTGTCGTGGTTCAACGTCAGGAGGGCACTTGACTTTTAAAACTCCTCACTGTCCCTGATCAGGTCGATGCGCAGAGCCAGCTCATTAAAAGATGGACGTAAGGTTGGGTCTTTATCCCAACACTCCTCCATGATCTGGTAGATCTGGAAACAAAGGGAAGAATGTCAGCAGAGAGTAAAGGGAGTCAGAAACATTTACATCAGAGTCAAAATCTTTTGTCACATGGGTCAAAAATCATTGAGTCAAAAGTATTTGTGGACAAGAAAAATATAAAATTTTTCAATTATTTGTTTATTGTAGCAAAGTGGACATCCCTGATTCACGTTGACATGTTGGTTTGTGTAGCGTGACAAAGCACAGCTCACAGAGGAAATCTTCAGCAACCGATTATCTCAGACCAAGATGGCTACTACATCTGAAATTGATTTTCAAGAAATCTAGTGGCAGTTGCTGTTATATAAAGCAGTCTAACACTTGGCAGAACTTAATAGAAGCAATTCAGTGATGTAGTAACAATAATCTGTCACAAACAGAGCTTGTAGATAAACAGAAAGGTGCATACCTCTGAAGGACAACCCAGGGGCAGAGGCAGCCTGCTGCCCGATTTGAGCAGCTCAATGAGGTGATAGACGATCAGCTGCCCCTGCTTATCGTTACCCATCATTGACATAAATACCTAAATGGAGGAAATAAGTGGACAAAGATGGTGAGTTTGAGGGCAAGTTGGAATTTTTCAGACTATAACCCCAAACTTTAGTCCTTTATCTCAGAGACAAACACAAAGTAGGACAAAAAAATAAAAGCAAAACAAAACAGTTTTTAAATTTTTTTTTACAATTGTAATCTGAACGTGTAGCACATATTCACATGCATCCCTCGTGAGGAGATACTTCCTGGAATTGTCATTCACTGAAATCCCTTATAAAGAAATCTCCAAATATTCAGACAAAAGACTGAATATTTGCTTTTCTTTGCAAAATAAGTCAAGCCTTGCCTCAATGAGCTTAGGTCTGGGCTTTTACTCTGCCTTTCTAACACATAAATAATCTTTGTTTTAAACCATTCTAATGTAGCTCTGGTATAATCTGTTGTTCCCCTTCTCCATAAGCAAACCTTCACCCCAGTCTCAAGACTAACGTCGCCTCTAACAGGTTTTTCTCTAGGGATTGCCTTCTATTTAGCTCCATTCATTTCCCTATCAACTCTGACCAGCTTCCTATCTAAAAGAAAGAGGGTAAAAAAAGAGATACATTAATTTATATTTATGAAGAAAATGTGAACGAGAAAGATATGTGAATATTTCACATTATTTATTGAGGCCTGACTCCCATTGGGATGTGTTTTTGGGGAAATGAACCACATGCACATTAAGACATGACGGATAATGTGCCTTGGCTGTCAGATTACTGGAAAGAAAAGCATGTCTGGAAAGGGTTTATGTTTAATGGCGCTGTCATCCTACATGAATCAAACTGAAGCTTATTCTCTGAATGTACACAATGTTCTCAGAAGTACAGAGAGCCTTTACATCGAGTGTTCAAGCAAACATGAATTCAGTCTCATGAACTCATGATGAAACTCAGGTGAAAACAGGGTGAAATTCTCCAGGCAGTCGAACCGTCTTTTACTCATGTCCGCATGTCCGGGCTTGTTTTTGGCCATTTCACAAGAAATGAAACAATGTACCCTGAAATCAAATACAGACACTGTGCAAACAGTACAAAAGTCTCCTTAATGTGTTTGCTCAGTAGAAGTTCTACATGTCTTTTCAAGTCTAAATGTTCTCCAAAATCCTGCCAATTTCACTTGGGTGGAGGCATTTTATATAAATGTTTAGCACTTAAGTTCAAACTGTCTTAAATGGTGCAAGAGTCAGTTTTAGTTTCTTAAAGAAATTATGCAAATATTTAGAGTTAAATATTTGAGAAGACCAACATACGGATTGGAATAAAAATGGATCAAGTGAAAGGCTCAAATTGGAATATTCTGATTGGATTCAGATTGATGGGTATGAATTTGTAACACTGGTTCTGAACAGGTTATTCTATTTGTGGCATAGAAGCATAATTGCACAGGTGACATATTTCTACCTTCATTGGCTAGACGAATGCAGGAGAAGAAAAACAGGTCTGCTGATTTCTCATGCTGTAACGCAGGGAGACCAACAGCACGTGTTGCTCAGCTTGTAGCTTAACATTTACAGCAACGTGGCGCTGGTCCATTCTGGGCGCCAAGACGACAAAAACAAACGCACTACTGCGACTCCGCTGTTTTTGATCAGGACAAAAAGTAGTAAGAGTTTTTTTAAGGAACATTTCAAAACTGCATGTCAGTTTATTCTGTTCTGGATAAAACATCTAAACGCACATGATGACTGGATTAATGAAATGAAGAAAAAAGTGAATTTCAGAATTTTTAGTTTGTAAATAGTTATAATGCCCCTTCAAAATAAAAAAACCCCGTCTTAAACTAATACTTTTTTAACTTTATTTTTACTGTGCTCCTTGAACCACTCTTACCCTTTTCTAATCTAATAAAGTCCAGCATCTTGGAATATTTATGTCCAATCAAAAAGGCAAAAATTCACATTTAAGCAACCCATCTCCTTCAAGCCAAAACACTAAACACCAAGAAGAAGCTTAGATACATTTTAATGCTCATGCAGATTGGTGATGATTTAAAAATTGGCCACTATCAGAAAGCCACAAATCAGATCTTTTTTCAAACCAGTGAATGCACCATGCTAAGAGCTACCGGTTGGGGCCTGACATTTCAAAAAGCATGCCCACATGCTGAGGTCACTGCACTTTCCTGACTGATGTAGCTGGCTGTTGCAAGCTTCAGCAACTCACTAGAACACAACCATCAATCCTGAATATTCCCGCTTGTTCTCTCATGCCCATACTAGTTGTTTCATACATTTCCTATCTGTGAAACACTGAGCCACCAACCCGTAGGTTCAGCTTTTAATAGGAGGTTAAACTTTAATAAAGGAAGGAAATGCTTCCAGTGAAGCACATTTTGTTATCTTTGTTTGGACAGGATAAGCCACTGATCTCAATCTCTCTTTCTGAGCCACTGGTTTTAGATAACAGGTCATTCATAAATATTTTAAAATGTTATTTCAGAAGTGAAAGAGAGGAATTTCATGGGTCTAGTAAAGCTGAAGTAAATCATACTGGATTAAAAAGATGCATTTATTGATTCGCAAAAGCAGAAGCAAATACCGTTAGTAAACAGATATAAAAAGTGTAAAAGTTTTTGAAGTCTATTAAATTAGTCATATTTCGAGGATGCATTAAGACATTAGCGATAAATATATTTTCTGTTACAAATCAGAGTTCATTGGACACGTAATAAAAAACTGAAAGGTGTAAATGTTTATAAATCTCCAATTTCCAAGAATTCAACTTTTAAGTGCTTAGTTTCTGGAGGCTTTTTTAATCAAATGAAATGGGTGCAGAAAAAAATACCATATTTTCTGGACTACAAAGCACACTTAAAGCTTTAATATAAAAAAAAATTA